AAAAGGGTGGTAGGATTTGAGTGCAAAGCTGAAATTCGTGACTCCTGTAAGCCTTCATTCATTGAACATGAAATACTCACGCTGATAGCAATTTGCCGTTTGTTCAAATAGGAAACATCGAACACGTTCAACAAACTTCCTTTCGACTATGAACGTAAGTCGGCCACTTCCTAAATCATCACTGATTGAAGATTACGTTATTTACAACGGCTGCAAGATGTTCAATCATTTACCTAGTTATGTCAAAAACACTGCCAATTTAAACATTTGTAGAAAATCGGTGGAAAACTCAATGTAACATGAAGTTCATTATAATTTACAGGAATTTTACTCTGACACATTTTGAAACTTTTGTAATTTCTGTTTACTTGTTATCTGTTTTTTATATACAAATTCGTAGAGGTTCGTTTCGATTTTTATTTTCAGTTCGTATTATATACTTACTAACAGGTATGAAATTGACTATTTTAGTAGGTATCATTCATTATCATTTTTCCAATTTTTCCAATCATCGACCAGTATGTATTAGAAATAGGTACAAGGTCATTCCGTATATTTAAACAGCTTCTACAGGGTTATCATTGAGGATAGAGAAAAACTTCAAATGCAAAATTTTTAGGGTTTGTTCTGAACCTCCAGAATATTATACTAGATGGAACAAATGAATATCGCTGATATAGGAAATGGTACCAACTTTTTCGTTTTCGAGATATTCGAGGTTGAACATTTCAGATTTTTTTTCAAATTTGATTTTACCAAATCCACATGAATACGAAGAGATTCAGCAACAGGGTCGCAAATCCCCCAATGTCTAGTGTGGCATTTCGAATTTAGAAAAGCCAAGTGATTGGATCAATTTCCTTTGAGGGTTCTTTAGCAGGAGATAGGTTTTTGTAGTTTTTCAATAATGGAATTGAAGATCTGTTGGAAAACCTCCCACTCAGGCAGTATAATGAATTGAACTGGCATCAGGATGGCGCGCCACCTCATTAAGTTATGCCCGTACGGCATCACTTGAATGATCGTTATCAAACGTGGATCGGAAAATTTGGAACAGTGGAATGGCCGTCAAACAGTCCAGATTTAACACCTTCAGATAACTTCCTATGGGGCTATTTGAAGAATGAAGTGTATAAGGAAAGAAGTAGAAATTTGGCTGATTTGAGAGGAAGAATTTCGGAATGCATTAACATATTGAACAATCATCACTTCAACTTCATTTGCAATTCGATGAATAAATTGGATAAAGACTACAAAATTCAACGGTGGTCAGATCGAACCCCAGGCAACCAGATGACGAATGATCACGTCACTGTGACGTCCCTAATTAGTGATTTTTCATCAGAGACGTCACACACCAATTTATGACGTCAACATGACGTAATTCCTATGACGTGATAATCACGTCATCGTTTCGACGTCGAGTGAACGTCACTAAGATGGGTAAAATAATACGTCAGTTTCATGACGTTGCAGGGACGTCCTGTTGACGTCCATTTTTCCCAGACGTTCTCTAAACCATGGATACTTATAAATTATCATGTGACAAAAATTTAACTCATGAAAGCGAAACACCATGCAAGTTTCATTCTAATTTTTGATATAAGTACCCGGAAAGTAGTAAAAAAACTTTTTTCTAAAAAACTTTGACACACTGTATACCTCGAATACCAACAAGGTATGTATACAGTGTGTCCACCTTAAGGACTTACCACCCCTGTAAAATTGTTATTATCTGACCGATTTCGGAAAACTTTTTTTTGTTGGATAGGTATTTGAAATGTCCATCCAACAAGAGAGTGATTTTACTCATGAACTGTAATCGTGGCCAACTGCGACCAACTCTATTGATCCATATTTGAGAAAGTACTATTAGGGATTTTTTTTCACAAAAAACAATGATGGATTCTGAATCACGATCACTTGAAAAACACTTTCACTGATTTTCATTATCATAAAACACAGGGTGTCCGAAAAAACGAATTATGTTTTTTTTTTAATAGGTGATCAGAAAATGTAGTATTGTGGTATTTTCGAGAAGAATTGATGACACATTATTATTGAGGATTACTTTGAACATATCTGTACCGATTTTCATCATTCAAAAATACGATGAGAATGAGAAAACAATTAAAAAAAAGTAGGCAATATTTTTTCATCGACTCAAAAAATATATCAATTTGAATTTTCAAACACCCTGTGTTTAATGATGATGAAAATCGGTACAGGTATGTTCCAAGTGTTCCTGATTCATCTATTTATTTTGAGTGAAGAATTATCAGGATGAAAAAAATTGCTTACCTATCCTTTTTAATTTTTTTCTCAGACACATTGTATATTCAAATGACAAAAATTGCTACAGGTATATTTGAAATAATCCTCAATGATAATTTGTGAATATTTCTCTCTGGAAAAACCACAGCAGAACTACATTTGCTGATCACCTATTTGAAGAAAATGATGATTCGTTTTTTTGAACACCCTGTGTTTTATGATGATGAAAATCGGTACAGGTATATTTTAAGTGGTACTGATTCAGAATCCATCATCAAGTTTTTTGGAAAAAAATCCCTAATAATACTTTCTGGAATTTGGGTCATCGAAATGTGTCGCAGTTGGCCACGATAACAGTCCAAGAATTAGATCACTCTCTCGTTGGATGGGCATTTCAAATACCTATCCAACAAAAAAAGGTTTTTCCGAATTGGTCGGATAATAACGATTTTACAGGGGTGGTGAGTCCTTATGGTGGACACACTGTATATAAAAATGATTGTTTAGGAATTACAATATTGAAACCGTTACTCTTATGACGTTGCAGTGACGTATCTAAGACGTCTGAAAATCACGTCGGTGTGACGTCATTTAGGGAATTTTTCAATAATCTACTATTCAGATTTTTGTTGGGTGACAACATACATTATTCAACGAAGTGAAGCCAAATTCGCCAACATCTTTTCCATTGCAATCAAACTATTCTTTGTTTGCTTACATCTCGCCGACACAAACTACATAATTTTTGATACAAATACGAGTAACTGACTGCATTCTGATGAAGATCCCAGGCAACCAGATGACGTTCCAGTGACGTCTTTTTTACGTCACTTGAATGACCAAGGTGACGTCAGTAGTTGACGTCGCATTGACGTGACAATGACGAGAATAAGTCACAGCCCAATGACGTCATATTACTCACGTCGTATTGACGTCATGATTACGTCAAAATGACGATTGAATTTGGCGATGATACGTGAAAAAGATTCCTTTAACATGGTGTGATAAACACCACTAGAATCTGACGACATTATATAATATTGATTATTGCATTGTTGAGTCTGCTTGGTGGGTCCCTCCTGTGTCATGTTCATTCAATCGCCTATTCAACAGCACCATCCTTCAGAACGCATCTCCATCAGAATGCAATCAGTTACTCGTATTTGTATCAGAAATTATGTAGTTTGTGTAGGCGAGATGTAAGCAAACAAAGAATATTTTGATAGCAATGGAAAGGATGTTGGCGAATTTGGCTTCACTTTGTTGAATAATGTATATTGATGCATTCTTTGTCACCCAACAAAAATCTAAATAGCAAATCATTGAAAAATTTCCTAAATGCCGAATTGGTACGTCACACCGACGTGATTTTTAGACGTCAAAGATACGTCACTGCAACTTCATTAGAGTAACGGTTTCAATGTAGGTATACCTGAACAATCATGTTTATATATACATAGCTTGTTGGTTTCCGAGATATACCAGTGTGTCAAATTCTTAAGAAAAAAGTTTTTCTACTACTTTTCGGGTATATCGATGATTGAAATAAAACTCGCATGTTGATTTGCTTTCATGATTTATACTTCTGTTTCACATGATAATATATAAGTATCCATGGTTTAGAGAAGGTCTGGGGAAAATGGACGTCGACAGAACGTTCCTGCAACGTCATGAAACTGACGTATTTTTCTACCCATCTAAGTGACGTCCACTCGACGTCGAAACGATGACGTGATTATCACGTCATAGAAATTACGTCATAGTGACGTCATAAATAATTGGTGTGTGACGTCTCTGACGAAAAATCACCAATTAGGGACGTCCCAGTGACGTGATCATTCGTCATCTGGTTGCCTGGGATGCGTACTGAAGGATGGCGCTGCTAGATAGGCGATTGAATAAACATGAAACAATGAGAGGGATTTACCAAGCAGACTCAACAATGCATAATCGATATTATATAATCATCAGAGGCTAGTGGTGTTGATCACACCATGTTAAAGGAATCTTTTTCACGTATCATCGCCAAATTCTATCGTCATCTTGACGTCATTATGACGTCAGTCGGACGTCACAGTTTGGTGAGTGGATGACGTCAATACGACGCGAATAATATGGCGTCATTGGGCTGTGACTTATTCACGTCATTATCACGTCAATGCGACGTCAACTACTGACGTCACCTTGGTCATTCAAGTGACGTGAAAAAGACGTCACTGGAACGTCATCTGGTTGCCTGGGACATCTGTGAAATCTCCTTCAGTTATAAAAGTGCGTTTTTTTTTCTTTCATGACAGTTGCGATTTGTTAAAATCCAAAATGTTCAAATGGCTGAACCAAATATCAATGACCAATATATTTTTGGAATCAGGAAGAAAAGATCTTGAATTTTTTCGAGAAAAATATAGGGCGTTCTATTGGAAATAACGAAGTTGGTACTCATTTCTTGTATCAGCGATATTCATTCGTTTCATCTGGAGGATCAGAACAAACCCTACAACTTTTGCGTTCGTAGTTTTTCTCTATCTTCAATGATGAACCCTGTAGAAGCTGTTTAAATATACGGAATGACCCTGTACCTTGATATTACATCTTGTTTCAAACATAAGCAAAATTTGTCAACAAGAATTCGATTTCTTATGATAATAAAGTATATTCTATCTCTCTTCCTCTCTTTCTAATATGCGTTTGCCACGCTTGTTATGTAATATACTATTATCTTTCAGGAACTCTCATCGCAGCTGGAAGAAGTTGACAACCGATCTGGGGGATGGTCAAGTTGGTCAGAATGGTCACCTTGCTCGAGGTCATGCGACGGTGGAGTTTCTCTTCAGTTGAGGACTTGCACCAGTGGGACTTGTAGGGGTGAACACGTCCGATATAAGATATGCAACATGCAGGTGAGTGAGGCATGAATACATTTTATGTTTCAGGAATATGTGGAAGTGGAAACACGTGATTATGTACCATTCATGAATCCACACGTCGTTTATCACTCACAAGCTACGTCACTAATGAGAATCATCATATACCTAGACGGGAATAGCATACCTAAATAACTGAGTAGTTCCTGAAGCTATATATTCATTGTTGAGCAACTTCAGATTTGGCAATGCTTGGTGCGATGAAACGTGCGATGATATTACTAATTCAATTTGAAGTGGTCAGATACAATTGGCCAATAATACTATCCCAATTTCCATAGCCAGCAATGTCAGCATCGGCAAAGCCAAAATTACCCAGCTATAATCCTGCTATCACATATCCTACTTCGAGAGTTCCATCATCACGTATTTTTTTCTCATTGGTGGTTTCAAGGTGATTGTACGTGAAACTGAGGTGGATTCTTAATTGAAACAAATCACGATTTATATTCAATAATTGATCTATCGAACTGTTGCTGATAAAATATATCAAGGTGATGAATAACTGTAAAAAATATTCTTGATGATTGTCTATAACGTCTATACTTTCAAGCTGTAAAATTACGCATTTTCTCCACCCCACGGAAGGTTTCCACATGATATGTGAAAACCTTAGGAACATGAAGGTTCTAGAATAAATTGAATGAAACATGCTCAAGATGAATGTGGAGCTTCTCATCAGCTGAGGACGGACTTATAGGGGCAAACCTGTCTTGTATAAGATATGGAACATGCAGGTGAGTGAGGCATGAACACATTTTATGTGGATATGGAAACATGCCTTCGGCGTCGTGTCCCAAACTTCCCTTCTCACAAAATAAAATGTCACTTTTAGCACTTATATCATAAATAATTATTATTCTGTTGTATTCCACTAATATGACAATGTTATGAACGTAAATTTCAACACTATTACATACTGATTCGAGTTCCTTGTAACAAAATATATTTCCACAAATCTCTGTAGAATGAAGTCAGTGAAGTGTAATGGTTTGAACTAGCAGCCATCTCAATATTCTGCCTACCTGTGAAGTCGGTATTTTGTATTTTATTCAGCGTAATTTCATTCTTGTGATTTCTCAATGGTATTTCAATGTAAAATAATTTTACTAAATATCACTGTTGCTTGAAATTGACAACAAAAATATTGGACTCGATCAGGAATATCCAGAAAAATTTCTCTCGTCTTCGTCGGGAGAATTCTCGAAATAATTAAGTTCTCGAGAATATTTTCAGCAATAATTGGAGCTCTAGTGGTATTATGAAGTGAACTGAGGCTGATTTTTGAAATGCGATTGTATCGAAAACCTCCCATTTGAATCAAGTAGTCAGGTAAGTTATTTTTTCAGTGTTCTACTTATTCTGTTGAAGAGATTTCTAGTGACTAACCATTCAACTCAACATCACTATGTGTTATATCTCTCAATTTGGATGTGGTGGGTAATTAAATATCTGATAGTATTATTCTCTGGTGATTCTCACTTCCACTCAATTTTTCTGGGCGTGGAATATCAGGATTTGAAGACCAATATTTTATTTTACATTAATTCAACAGAGCAGCTCATATCCGATAGGCAGTTCTGAAATAGATACCCTGTAGTTTGGAATCATAATTTTGGGTTGAGGTTGATTGAAATAGATCCTCATAGCCCCAGAATATTGTACAGACCATTCGAAGATATATCCTGTGTGTCGTTAGATGGAATTCTATAAATGCTTCCTCGTTAGCATTGATGATTTGCATAACAAAAAGAATTTAAACTTCATTATTGAGACGAGCTCAGAAGATATCCCTCTCAGACCTGAAATCTCACAATTAGATCCAACGAAATTTGTCCAGATTCATAATGAATTTCATTCTTGTTCGGAGACTGAAATATGGAAGGCAAAATGCCGAATCCAAGAGTACTTGAATTCAATTAATTGTATAATATCATCAGAATGTTATACACATAGATTGCGGTTTACCAGAACGAGAATTTGTTAAATATTTTCATGTCAAACCATGGAAGTTCAAACAATTCAGAAAATATATAACTCATCCATTTCAAATCACATACTCAGACGATATTGAATGATTGATATCGTGTTACATTGAATTGATAGATACATATTCGTCATTTCATCAAGTTGATTTGAAATGATGAACAAACGGTCGCTGGTCGCTAAAGGTAGGTACAAAATGGACATACTTTATTGTCGATAGAGCAGAATGAATCTTACACACATCCAGGCTATTTTATAAAGGACCAATAACCTGATTCTTCCAGTGAAATACAAATTAACCCCGACAAAAAACAAGATGAAAATATTTGCCAATCCGCCGTCGCCATATAGAATTGAAGATGGCATTCGCAATGAAATTAATGGTCTACTCGTAAGGTGATATTCTAGCATTCTTCGTGATGACATGTCCGATATTATCATCACATTCTCAAACTCTTCCAATAGACATACTAGACGTTTTCGATGGGTTTCGATGATGAAGTATTCTTCTGCATTGATTCTATATTTGTTTATTTGCTTCATCAGTTTGTTTGTGATTGAATTCATAATATCATAACTATGAGCTATTCTGAAAGCTCACTCACTAACAACTAGCCGTATATAACTACTTTGTTGAACGAAATTCATTGTACGACTGACAAAATAGCTCTGCATATTCGCAATGCATTATTTTGGTAACTGTTTCTATTCTGGAAAGCTAATAAGTATTTCAATAATAGGTTTAATTATCTGTATTGGTTCCAGATTGCCTCATGTTTCATTCCACGATCATCAATAGAATATTATGTATATAGGTATACTAACGGGTCGATTCAGTCGTAGCAAGAACTTCAGAATATTTGATGGGTTGAATACGGATAAACGATCAATATCAACAATTGATCAGTTCACTCTAGTTGTACTACTAGAAAAGGAGAATTTGCTAATAAAGAAATGATTATAGAGCTATTGTATGCAATTGATTGAATAGAAAGGAAACAGTGTGAGCTGAAACATGAAAAGCATTGGTAATGACCATGGTGAAAGTTTTCACCAAAGGTTTTCACAAAATATCACATTTACCTATATGAGGGAATATATTTCAAGGTTAGTGAGAATACATCGATTACTTCCGATTTTCCTACACTTCCGTATCCAACATGCCATTAATTCTACTATCAAGATTCTAGACATATTAGTTCTATCTAGAGGGTATCGAATATACAGGATGTAATATGAAATGTCGTTGAAAATCAATATTTTACATTTGGATTCCTTCCTCGAAACATGGGAAGCATTAGTGATGACCAAGGTAAACGTTTTCACCAAACGTGTCCACAAAGTATCACAGTGATATGAAGAAATACATCCCAAGGTTAGGGGAATCATTGTCGATCTGAATGAAATCCTAGGAGGGTACCGAGTGCGAGGAGGTTAATCCAAGAATAAGAAAGTTGTAGTTCCATTAGGTAGCTTTAAGCGGAAACAATCAAGAAATTGCAAGAACCTCAGTAGCGCACATTTGTTGGTCGAAAATATGGGCTGAGGTGCCTCCAGGACGCCACTGCACATGATTGTAATATTGTTGGGACTAAATCAGTTTCTGACTATCCCAAATAGCACTGCCAAATTTTGACAGAATCGGCTGGAGAATAATTGATGTATTGAAAAAAAACCTATTTGTTCCAAAACTTTTGAGTCCCTGTATCTTGACGATGAAAGCCTCACCAGACCTATGTTCATTTAATGCACTTATAGAGTGAGAACTACTCATTTTATCACCTCTTCTAGTTTTGCCACTGACTCACATACTACCCTGCATCATACCATTCGTAAGACGATACATTATTGGTTTCCTGATGAACTCAATAGTTGCATCATTTTGCATATGAAGATTACACTTTTATAATCAAAACATGTTGTTATTCGTCGGTAGCATGTCACTTCATAATATTCCTATGTTTATCAATCAGATCAAAATAACGAACCAAGAGAAAAATGACTGTACTGCATGATTACTCATGGACAGAGGTTATCCCATGATTTTTCCAAACTCTGTATGAGTTCTGAATGAGGTCATTAAAGCGATATCGATAGGTTATTTCCATCGACCCTCATAACGACTTGTATATTCGGACGTTGGTGTGCTCAGCTCTGAAGTTGATCCTGTTAGTTTGGAATAAATTCGGTTAGGATATAACATTTTTCCAACCCGAATCGCGATCATTTTTCTCATCAAAAAGCGCGATGCAATTTCACAAACGTCTTTCGCCGCCGAAAGCGAGATGATAAAATGACCCGCTCGCCAGAGGTTATCAGGCGCCCAACCAATCAGAGGCCACGCGCAGCTCCCTGGGCGATAAAAACCCAAAACTCGAAATAAAATACTGCGACATAGAGACACAGACGAAAGAGAAATAAATGGAAGTCGGGTGACGTGTCTGGCAACTCAAAATCTGATATAGGAACGCCAATATGCATGGGGTCTTGATGGAGAGGAGGAGATATGGTCCCCAAAGGGGAACTTTTATTCACATACAATCGACCAAACAGCTACTATTGCATGATTTCCATCGAGCCTCACGCTTATGATTTTTTCAGGAAGATGATGATCCATATAATCATCGAGGTTTTGAGAACTCTAGGTTTTTTGTTACGGAGTAGATAACAATGCCCCATCGAACATCAATGGCCTAATATATTTTTTCCAGCAGCCCAGTATGCGGGACTCTATATATCGGTACACTGCGGCCGGCAACTGGTCCCAGTGCTGGGTGCCCAGCAATCATATTCGGTTCCCCGTCAAAAGGCCAGTACAACATAATCGACACATTGAGTTTCCCATAGCAAGCCCAGCATATACATAAATAATGGGACTGTAATGGCCAACTGACGACATTATTTACACTTATCGAGGTAGGGGAAGGGTTGGGGTTTCAGGGGTCCTATGGATCTGAAAGTCCTAGTACCTCTTTAGTTCACAATATAAC